CATATTTCACTAATAATGCATAATAGCAAACTTTAGATACAGCTTTGTTTTTCTAATGCATTTTATAAATATGAGGTTCCATGAAGAAGTCACCTAGCATGTTGGGGAACATAAACACAAGTGCTGGGCAACTATTTGCTGTCTGTGGAAAACCAGAAGAAGGATTTAGAAGCCATACATATTTGACTCTAGAGGAAGAATATGATGGTTGGTGAATACAACTACTTCACAAAGAGATCTCTATAGTAGGCAAGACAGAAAAGTGGAAGTTGTAGACACAATATTGAGGACTTAGGGCTGTGAATTAACTCTGACTATGATTCTGAGGAGTAAGTGGTGAGGTGATTCTGAATGGTCAAATCAACTCAATCCACACTGAGAACTTACAGTATTTAGGTAGCAAAGGCAGCTCAAAATAAACGTTTACAAGAAGATAAATCCTCAACTAACTACTTATAGTATAGCCCTATAAGGAAAGGCACTACTCTAAAAGTAGAGAAAACACGCACTTTGAGTTCGACAAACGTGAGTTTGATTCACAGTACTACTTCTAAGTGGCCTGGACATTAAAGTAAGGCACCACACTGTATTATATGAAATGTATAAACAGTGACACTTATTAGGGTGTTGTTTTTATTTTGTAAGAACAGAAAGATAAAAAGTAAAAAAACGAAGAAGATGAATATAGGAAAAACTTACCCAGATGGACTTTGATTTTGAATTATTGCATTTTTTCTTATACTTAAAAATATTACTCAAATAACCACACAATGCTCAAGGAGACATAATAGCCAAAAAAATTAAATACATTTTAAAACAATTTTTCTTCAGTAAATGTGTTTTTAATATAAATTAACTATCAAAGACAATAATCTTGAGAGAGAGATTAAAGAATCTAAATAGCACCTTCTCCCACACATAGGATTATAAAAGCAGCAACTGTTTCATGATGGAGAAAATATTTTAAAGCACAGGAAAAAAAGATTAAAGCTACACAGAGACAAATACAAGTAAATCAGGGAGTATATAATTCTAGATTTTTACTATATATAACATAGATGATTAATGTGTCTATATCTATATTAATGAAAGTGAATAATTTATATATACTATTTGCAATTTGCTTTTACAATAAAGAAATAATTAAAATGTTTAACATAAATAAATATCCCTCTACATTAATTTAACAAATGATTAATATTACACTATGTGAAAATCTAATAATTTAGCTAATATGCCTGTTGCAAAACTTCTTATTCCTGATTCTTCACTACACAAAAGACAATACTGTGTTGAACATACTGATATCTGAATTTTGTAATACACCCATGATTATTTCATTAAGTCAGATTTCTAAAAGTGGGATTGCAGGGTAAAAAGTAAACAAATTTTAAGAGATATCTAAGGCATATTGAAAAACTGACCACTAAGAAGACTATACCAATTCATACACCTATCAGGAATGTATACGAATAGCTATTTTCTGAAACAGTTCTCACAAATATTTAATGTTATCATTTTCTTATTTACTTATGGCAAATTAATAGGCAAAAATATGTATGCTTTATTACTAGAATTATACAATTTGTCCATGTCATCATTAATCTTTTTTTTCTTCATGACTGTCTAAATATAACTTTTGCAAATTTTCCCATCAAATTGTGTCTTCTTATTAAATTTGAAACAATGTGCTATATTGTTATGTACGACAGACATTAACCTTCACAAATACTTACTGTAATTATTTTTCTGGATAAGCTTACATTCCATTTTCTTTATGAATTCCTTTTAGATACTTTAAAAAACATTTTATGCAGTCAAATTATTAACCTTTTCCTTAATGACCACTTTTAGGTGTGATCATTATAATAATGAATTACTTTCAGATTATAGAGATATTTGCTAATATTTTTATTGGTTTCCCAATAATTTCTTTCTTTTTAATAATTTAAACATGTATTTGATCTAGAATACATTTTGATATATGAGATAGTGACTTAACATTCTTTTTATCCAAATAAAAAGATAGTATTGGCACAGGCAATTGCTGAATGTCATCTTTATCATATATAAAATTCTTACATACTAGTATACTTTGAACTACTTAAAGATTTTTAATCTATCAGTCTATTTCAGTGTGAGAACGATATTACTTAAATTATTTTTTGTTTGCAATAATATTTCTATATTTGATAGAAATCAACCAACTGAGCCACACCAGCTAGAGCCATTGCTCATATTTTAGTAAGTTGTGTATTTTTAATCAGGAATGTTAAGCTGGAGTTTAATAAATGTCTTTTTTAGAAAATGTAAAGATTTATATACTTTATCTCCATCTATTAATGTTATAAATTTTATTAATTAATTTTTTTAGATTTTAAAATATCAAACCATTCTTGCATTTCTAGAATAAATCCTACAAAGTAGTACTAAATTCCTTTCTTAAAACACTTTGGAATTAACTTACTAAATCTCTATTTTATTTTTTTATCCATAACTGTGAGATTAGTTTGTAGATTGCTCTTTTGTGCTACTTTTATCTTGCTTTGGTATCAAGATGAAGCTAAATGAAATCATCTAGTTTTCTGCAGACTAGTGTTCCCACTAAGCACTACAAAGGCAGTAAGAAACTAGAAAAAAAACAAAACACATACTTTAAGACACTAGAATACTGTGAAGTAATAAGGACTAAAGGAAATAAAACTACAAAGAGGGCAAACCTTTTAAAAGTGAGCTGAGGAGCCATCTGCCAAACCTAAGCATTGGAACAGACTGTGAATCTGGTTAGGTCCAGGTAGAGAATAGCTACTGGGGTGAAAAAAATATCACTGAATTTTTGTTGCTTTTATTATGAAGCTGAAGTGCCAAAATTGGAGTTTGAGAGTCAGTTCTCTACACAAGACACTTTCTGAAATCTAAATCTGCACAGCTGAGAAAAATAAGGGTCTAAGCAAGGGGTGGGCAACCCCAGGCACGTGTGCCAAACATGGCACGCCAGTAACTTTTGCTGGCACGCGAAACCCTCTCTTATAATCTTCCATTTACAATTTTTTTCTTAATATCGACTTTTTTATTTTTCAGATAAATTCAGTGTAGGTGCATCTTAGATAAATAAATAATTTTACATAACAAGTTATCTTAAAGACCATAGACATGGATTGACAAGAAAGGGGAAGAGCAATTTCTATGCCTCTGCCTTAACTCTCCCTGCCTTCCTAGATCCGACCAGTGTTTTGGTTTCACCCACATATGCTTGTGAATCTTTGTTCTCAGTGATGAATTTTGTTAAGTCTCGTAATAGGAGTAGCCTGACGGATGAAAGTAGTAGCTCGTGCATATCTCTGAAGGTCACGAAATATACACCTGATGTAAAATCTCTGTCATCAGTGATGCAGCAGCAAAAGTCCCACTGATAATATCAAACGGAGTCATAAAGTTTTCTGTCGGACTATCAGTGTACATGTACACATTAAAAAATAAATGTATTTTTCATCATCATATACTGTGTTTTTGTCGCTCGGATGAATTTATTATTTCTTCAAGGTTCTTCACATACGTACACCTTAAGAGATATCAAGTAGGTGTAACATGTTCTCAAAAAAATTAGGGTTGGCACGCAGAAGAATTTTGAGTCAGAGATTTTGCTGGTTTTGGCACGCACTCACAAAAAGGTTGCCCACCCCTGGTCTAAGCCAACCTCTGAAAAGCAAAGTAAGATTTCCCAGTCCTAGTGTTTCAGAGAAAAAGACTCACTAGTGGGAGGATTCATGGGAATCTCAGGTGAGAGCTGAAAGCCAACCACATTTTTTTTTCCTGTTGGCAATTGTTGATCTGAGTAAGACTCCTCAAGACATTTGGCAAATTCTAAAATCAAAGAAGAAAGGAGGAGGCTAAAGTACTAAGATTTCTTTAGAAAAGAGGAAATTTCCATGATCTTCTTTGTGCTGCAGAGACAATGACCTGCCAAGCTCTCATTAAAAGCACTGAAGAACCACATTCTATCAACAGGGGCAAACCAAAGATACACACAACTGCAATCCAAGCTTGATCCAGGTCAGCCCATGATTGGATTAAGGTAATGAGGCTCAAACCACAACTCACCCATCCATTCTACCTACTTAATAAACAAAAAAAGTAAACCAAACCTGGTGGGAGATGATAGCACCAGAAACCTCTACATATTTTAAACACAGGGCTTTATGTCAACCAGAAAGTAATTAGTAGAGATAGGGAAATGTTACCGATAACCAAGAAAAAAAAAAGGGATCAGAAAGAAATCCACCAATATGTAGGTAAAGCACACATTAGCATTTATAAACAATGACTTTAAAATGACTGTGATTACATAGCTCAAGAAAAGAGAAAAATTAAATAAAAAGATGGAGAGTCGCCCTAGCTGGTTTGGCTCAGTGGCTAGCGCATCGGCCTGCAGACTGAAGGGTCCCGGGTTAGATTCCTGTCAAGGGCATATGCCCGGGGTTGCAGGCTCGATCCCCAGTAGGGGGCGTGCAGGAGGCAACCGATCAATGATTCTCTCTCATCATTGATGTTTCTCTCTCTCTTTCCCTCTCCCTTCCTCTCTGAAATCAATAAAAATATATTTTTAAAAAAAAAGATGGAGAGTCTTAGCAGAAAATTTGAGATTATAAAAAAATTAAATGGACATTCTAGGACTAAAAAATACATATCTGAAATCCTAACTCCTAAATTTCTCTTCTATTTCCACCAAGGCATTCACTATGTGTTTGTACTAATTACCCTTAAGTTGGAAGGAATATAAGTAGACATAACGTTAGGGACTATTTTTAGAATAAACAAAATATAAAATTAAATGAAAAAATAATAAAAGAGATCTCTAAATCCTGTTAAGGGATGATAATTATAGAGTGAGCTTTTATAACCTAAAGAGCTTCCAGAAACAGACAAAAATTTTTCACCAAACTCAATTTTAAGAGAACATTTTTCTACATGATGGACAAAGTAAAGCAACTGTCACTTACAGGAAGGTGTGTGAATACAGCAAAGGTGCTACGTAGAAAGGCAATGAGGTCTACTAGGTAGTCACTAGCTTTGTTTCCCAAATCTCCTGTCATCCAATCATAGTCGGCCAGCTGGAGAAACTGGTCAATCTTCTGATTTAAGTTGGTATAAATCTCTTCTTCAGCTGCATGTCTGGCATCCTGTGAAATATGAAATTTTTAAAATCATTCAGACTTTTAGTATAAGCATACCAGAAATTTCTGCTTGGAAACATCGCACACATATCCACTAAATAATAGAATTGGGGATATTAAGTAATATTCCATGAATTTTTCTTTTTTCAAAAGCATAGTGAAATATGTTCTATTTTGTGTTTGCAGGGCAAACTATTATTTTGCTTCACCAAAAAGAAAAACTGGCACTGTCCTTAGCTACGTGCATCCTTTTTCACTTTCATATCTTTGTTCAAAATTACACTCACTCTCAGAATTCCATTCCCTTTCATCTCTTCTGGGACTCCAAGATCCTCCCTTCCTGTAATATCACTCTCCATTTTCACCTTTTCTGTGGTACTTATTTTGCAGTGTATTTACATATTATAATATAGGCACTTATCATGTTGACTTATATGAATAATCTTTCCATGGACCTTTCTGTGCTTAGTTCTTTCCATATTTATATAATAATCTACAAGCATGACAATTAACTTGTATGATAATCGACTATCCTGGAATTCCCATTTTACTAAATATTTTCTTTTCATTAATAAACATTTTATTTTAGAAATTTAGGCTTAAAGAAAACTGAGCAGAAAGTACAGAGCATTCACATATACTGCCTCCCTATCTTCCTCGCACTGTTTCCCCTATTAAAACATCTTACATTAGTGTGGTACATTTATTACAATTGATGAACCAATATTGATAATTTATTACTAACTAAAGTCCATAGTTTTGAATTAGGGATTACTCTATATTGTACAGTTTTATGGCTTCTAAGAAATTCATGATGTTATATATTCACCATACAGTATCATAAAGAATAGTTTCCCTGCCCTAAAAATCCATTCAATTCTACCTATTCATCCCTTCTTCACTCATCCCCTGAATCCTGCAACCACTGATCTTTTTACTTTCTCTATAACTTTGCCTTTTCCAGAGTGTCATATGCTTGGAATCGTATGACATATTGTATGACTGAATAGGATGTTGAATAGATGTAGCTTTTCAGATTGGCTTCTTTTATTTAGCAATGTACATTCAGGCTTCCTGCATGTCTTTTCATGGCTTGACAGTTCAATCCTTTTCATAACTGAACAACAACATTCCACGGTCTGGATGTGTCAGTTTGTTTACCCATTCATTTCTGGAAGGACATCATTGTAGCTTCAAGTTTTGGTTACTATGAAAAAAACTTCTTTAAGCATTCATGTGTAAGTAGTTGTGTGTCTTAGGTTTTCAACTCACTTGGTTAATACCAAGGAGCATGACTGTTGGATTGCATGGCAAGACTATGTTCAACCTTTAAGAAACTGACCAACCCATCTTCCAAAATGGCATGACTGAGAGCTGCTGTTGCTCCAGCATTTGGTGCTCTCAGTCATTATAATAGCTGTGTAGTGGTATCTCGTTTTAATTTAATATTCCCTCTCCATTCTTTCATGAGGTGTCTGTTCAGATCGTTTGCCCATTTTCAAATTGGTTTGTTTACTTGTTGTTGAGTTTTACCAGTTCTCTGTATATTTTGGATGTAAGTCCTTTATGAGATATGCATTTTACAAATAGTTTCTCCCAGTCTGTGGCTTGTCTTCTCATTCTCTTAACAGTGTCTTTCCCAGAGCAGAAGGTTTCAATTTAATGAAGTCCAACTTAATATTACCTTTGGTGGACTATGTTTTTGGTGTTTTAGCTAAAAAGTCATAGCCAAATGAAAGGTCATCAAGATTTTCCCTTATATTATTTTCTAGGCATTTTATAGTTTTGTGTTTACTTGTAAGTCTGTGATCCATTTTGAATTAATTTTTGTGAAAAATGTAAGATTTGTGTCTAGATTCATTTTTTCCCCTTTTTTCCATGTGGATGTCCAGATGTTCTAACAACACTTATTAAAAAGACTCCTTTCTCCAATATACACTAAATGACTTGCTGGAATTTGGACTGCATATATCTCAAATCTATATATCAAGTTAGGAAGAACTGATACCTTGATAAAATATTGAGTGTTCCCTATCCATAAATAAGGAACATATCTCTATTTATTCAGATCAGTGGTCGGCAAACTGTGGCTCTCGAGCCACATGCAGCTCTTTGGCCCCTTGAGTGTGGCTCTTCCACAAAATACCACGTGTGGGCGCGCACGTACAGTGCGATTGAAACTTCATGGCCCATGCACAGAAGTCGGTATTTGTGGAAGAGCCACACTCAAGGGGCCAAAGAGCCGCATGTGGTTCGCGAGCCACAGTTTGCCGACTACTGATTTAGATCATTATTCTTTGATTTATTTTCATCAGAGTTTTATAGGTTTCCTCACATAGACCTTTTTTATTTTTTAGAGTTATACATATTTCTTTTTTATGTTAATGTAATGATATTGTGTTTTAATGACAAATTCCAGCTGTTTGTTACTAGTATAATAAGAAAACAAAGGACTTATGTATATTCACCTTGTATCCTCAACCTTGCTATTCTCTACCAGACTGATATTTGAATATAGCATGGTTGAGGATATAGCGTTAATATACAGTTATCAGTTCTGGTAGAGTTTGTGAAAAGTGTTTTCTTTGTTGTTGTTGTCAATTCTTTCTTATTTTCAACATACACAACCATGTCATCTGCAAACAAGTCAGTTTTATTTCTACCTCCTCAATCTGTAGATCTCATATTTCCTGTCTTATCGCATGCTGAATAGAGGGGATCCCTTCCTTTTTCCTGATTTTAGGAGGAAAGCTTCTAGTTTCTCACTATCAAGTATGTTGTTAGCTATACAGCTTCTGAAGATGTTTAGGAAATTTCCATTCTAGTTTGCTGAGAGGTTTTATCATGAATAGATGCTGGATACTGTCAAATGCTTTTTCTGCATCTACTGAAATGATTGTTTGATTTTTCTTTTTTAGCCCACTGATGTGATTGATTATATTAATTGATTTCTGAATGTTGGATGAGCCTTGCAGTTGAAATAAATGCCAATTGGTTGCACTGTACAGTTGACCCTTGAACTGTTTGGGTCCACTTAAATGTGGATTTTTTCCCCAATAAATACTATAAATATGTTTTCTTTTCTTTGTGATTTTAATAACATTTCCCTTTCCCTAGCTTACTTCATTGTAATAATACATATATAATACATATAACATATAAAATATGTGTTAATTGACTGTTTATGATTAAGGTTTCTGGTCAAACAGTAGGCTGTTAGTTGTTAAGTTTTTGGTGAGTCAAAAGTTGTAACACATATTTTCGACTATTAAGGGGGTCAGCCCATAACCCCTATAACTGTTCAAGAGTCAACTGTGTATGCTTCTGATACATGTTGAATTCAATCTGTTAATATTTTGCTAAGTATTTTTGCATCTATATTCATAAGAGATATTGGTTTGTTGATTCCCTTTCTTGAAATGTTTGGTTGGTATGAGAGTAATCCTGGCCTCCAACAATGAGGAAGGAAGTATTGCCTCTACTTCAGCTTTGTTAGGGTATTATTGACAAAATTGTAAGATATCTAGAATGTACTATGGAAGGATTAGATATAGGTATACATCGGAACAGGATTCCCCACATCAATTAGCACATCCATCACCCCACAGTTATTCATCACTATAAAACTATAGGTATAGAGTTATTCACAATATTCCTTTATTACTCTTTTAATGTACATGGAATCAATAGTGATGGCTCCTCTTTCATTTATGATATTAGTACTTGTGTCTTCTCTATTTTATTCTTAGCCTGGCTCAAGGTTTAATTTTATGGATCTTTCTAAGAATCACTGTTCGGTTTCACCAATTTTCTCTTTGGATTTTCCATTCTAATTTCTGCTCTATTTTTTTTTAAAGATTCGTTTGCATTTAATTTGCTCTGTTTTTCTAGTTTCCTAAGGTAGGAGCTTAGATGATTGCTATTAGAAAATTATTTCTTTCAAATATATACAATTAATGGTATACATTTCTCTCTAAGCACTGTTTTCACTGATGCCACAAATTTTGAAAAGCTGTATTTTATTTTCATTCTATTGGAAATACTTTTTAATTTCTCTTGAGACTTTTTCTTTGACCCACGTGTTATTTTGAAGTGTGTTGGTTATCTCCAAATATTTGGGGAATGTTTTGCTATCTTTCTGTTAATTATTTCCATAGTTTAATTCTATGTAGTCTAAGAGCAAGCTTTGTATGATTTCTATTCATTAAAATTTGTTATGGTGTGTATTATTACCTAAACATGGTCTGTCTTGGTGAATGTTCTTAATATCTTGAGAAGAATGTGCATTCACTGTTTTTAGATAAAGTATTCAACTTGACCCAGTTGGTTGATTGTACTATTCAGTTAAACTATATCCTTACTGATTTTCTGCCTTCCACATTTGTCAATTACTGATAGAGGGGCCTTCTAAGAGATGTTAGCAGGAAGAGATGTTGACTTATAACTTCCTTTTTAGTATCTTTTTAAATGCTCATACATTTTTTTCTCATTTGAGCTATTTGTAAATAATTTTAGATAATATTCTAACACTAATCATCCTTGCTTTCTTCTCTTTACTTTTACCTTTAATTGTGCAGATAAATTTTTGTGGTTACTGTTTCGGGGTGTGTGTGTGTGTGTGTGTGTGTGTGTGTGTGTGTGTGTGTGTGAATCACTGAACTACGTTTGCTTAGTTCAAAAACCTTACTCTACTCTTTCTCTTATAACCCCATACCCAATCCAACAATAAACTTGCCATCTCTTCCTTTAAAAATATTTCTGACCATTTCCATCCCCACCACTGTAATTCAAGTGAACACTATCTCTTACCTGGACTGCTGCAATAATCTCCAAATTGGGCTCTCTTCTTCAACCCTACTGATCCACGATGTATTTGCTTTCTACACAGTAACCAACATTACCCACCAATATATAAATCCATTTATCACCATCACTTCCATCTTCTAATGGCCTCAAGTTTCATTCCAGGATAAAATCTTATGTATTTCCTGTGACCTACAAGGCTA